TTTCAAAAACACTCACAATTAATGAAAGCTGCTGACTCAGAAGATCAAGTCGGATCGTGAATATCAGCTTACACAGACAAAGGTTCTTTCAGTTTCAGTCTGACGTTCACACCAGGGGAGGAAGTTGGAGTTGATGGAGTAATCCCTGAGTATTTAGATGATTGGAGATAAGCCTCATCCAGATAAGATGTGAAGATAAGAGCTCGGCCATTAGCCTGTGCTCCCCTCTCCTCTCCTCTCCTCTCCTCTCCTCTCCTCTCCTCTGCTCCTCGTCCTGTCTCCTCCTTTCTCATTCCATCAGTCTTCCGTCTCATTTCATCTGTACCCATCTGCTCACCTCCTGTAACTAATCAGGTGTAAAGCACAAGTCCGGGCAGGGACCGGATGCCACTGGTGTTTCAAATATCCCTCGCACCTCATGACTTCTGTTTCTGTCTGAGCCGTTTGTGAGGAGAGAAAGAGAAAGAAAAAAAAAAACAGTGAGAGGAGTGCAGAGGCAGATACCGAGGCTTGGAGTATGTCTTCAGGGCTTATCTGCACCTTTGATCTATATTGGTTTATTTGGGTGTATATCAATCAGCCTGCACCGAGCCCTCTCATTCTCATCCGGCCGTGACTTCCTGTCCCAGATTAGGCCTCCATCCTGCCCACCTCAGTGGCTCACGATGCAGCAGCACTTCAGGATCACAGGTCAGAGGGCAAGGGTCGAGCAAAGAGCGCTGTAACGATGTCCAGACTTGGAGCAACTGACCAGTCTCTGCCTGTGTGTGTGTGTGTGTGTGTGTGCTAGCACAACTGTTGAAAGGAAACTGTCCATCAGGGGTAAATCTGAAAACAATTTGACTGCATTAGGGCATTTAGAGCGTCTCCATTGATTTCCCCACTGGCCTCTCATCAGCGCCACACACACCCGCTGCTGTGTGCTGCACACAGACGGCCTTTCACACCCGCGCCTTCGCTCCTCTGCTCACTTCTTCATTTACACTTTTGTTTATTCATTTCTGCGTTTTCTTTCTGCTGTGTTTGGATCCAGCTGTCCCCCCGGCTCCGCAGCGCGTGACTTCATGCGGGCGCGTGCACACCCCCACTGTGCACGTTAGCGCATCTGAGTTGTTGGAATGTGAAAAGGATGTGAGTGCCAACAGGTCGTCTCGTACCCGTAATCTGTTTCCACTCTCTAATTTACCCAGACGCCAATTTTCCAATAACACATAATAACATGATTGATAACCAGCGTGTTTCCCTGAAATGTAAAACCTGCAGCTAAATATGGGGGGAGATCATAAAACCTGCAGCTTTTATGAGGTTATAATGTTATTGAAGGCTGAGTTCCAGCCTGGTTTATTTGCAGCCTGAAAAATGCGAGTACGAACTCTGGGACATATTTAACGGGGGTCTCTCCAAACTTCAAGTGAAATACCTGGGGGCCAACAGCTCCTCCTGGAATACTTAACACCACAATTAAAGGACGTACATACACTCATTCTGACAAATGTATTTATTTTGTGCGTAATAAATGCAGCAGCATACACGCTAATATAATTGAATCAACCGCTCAGAGTTCCAAGAATTTTTTTTTCACAACTTCCTGTTTTTCTTATATGTCAGCGTCAGAAAATACAAGGTTTAACAGGAAAATGGCAAATTTTTACAAGACTAAAGAATTCAACAATATTATGAATTAGGGGTTTGTAATGAATTGATCACAATTTGTGAAGTCTCAGTTGCACAGTTAGCTTTAAACACAGTTCTAATCCAAGATGATAAGTTTGATATTGATCTTAATCAAAGGATTTTTGCTGTAGTTTCTAAAACCAGTGATAATTGACGTGTTTTACAACTCTGTTTTGTCTCTTTTATAGGGATCACCTTGGTGTAAGGTGCAGTTTGAACGGGAACGTCCGTGCCTGATGCTGGACTCCAGAGTAAGTACAGAAAATATGTCTCAATATTATTTCATGCTGCACACCAACATGAACACAAGAGTCTGACAGCGACACACACAGGTGTGTTAAAGGACAGGTGCACAGCCCCATGTTATCATGTGTGAGTACGAAGTTAATCCAAACAAAACCTACTCCAGATACTGAGAACAGTAACGTACCTGAAGTATGTCAGTACTTATCTGAAGACGTTTAGTGATTGGTTGAGGGAAGCGTAGCCCAGAATTGCTAAAGGTCACAAAAATGTAGGAAAAAAAAGAACAACAAAAAACAAACCACAGGATGCTCTAAAAATCAATTTTGAAAATGGAACTTGTTTCTTTCTTTTTTTTTTTTTTCCTCGTAACTTTCAGAGTAGGAACCAGGTTCTGTTGCAGAAACTGGTGATGAAGGCTTTAATTTCCGTAGGAAAAATGAAAGGAAAACTGTTTTCAAGTAGCCCAAAATTTATATGAAGTGACTTTTCCACCCAGCTGGGCACGTCACGTGTTGGTGGGGAGCGCTGCTCTGCAACCCCTAGTGTGGAACTTTATAACTGCGTCCATTTCTTGTATGCAGTCTGTGGTATGTGCACTATGAACACACTCAGAATGATTTCCCTGACTGTTGTATATGAATATATTCCTCTGTGCACCGTCCATGTTTATGCATCTCCACCCATGTTTAGCATAAGCACATGAGTCAAACCTTCCACCGCCGCCACCACCACCACCACCGGGGCAGTTTGTCAGTTTCTGCTCTCCACAAACAAGGCCTCTTCTCCAAAACTCTCCAAACCCTTTTGCCTCCGGCTCACTGTCGCGGTTCCCATAAAAGAGCCCGCTGATGCCTCCTTTAATTGTAGCATGTAATCTGACTTAAACACAAGGCTGATAATAGTGCTGTCTATGTGGAGGTTAGGATTATAAAGGCCCCTGATTCCTAGCAGCTCTCTTATTATCTCCTCATCCTGGCCGCAGGGAACCCAAGGTCCGACGTGCTCGTTTCAAGCAGTGCCAGTTACTCTGTGACTCATCTAGGTTGAGAAACATTTGAGGAGAATGGAGCCCCTGTCTCGGTGTGTCAGCGAGCAGCTTGTGGCTCCCTGACAGATTGCTGTGAGATGCGAAGGCGAATTTCCCTCCGCGCTGTGCGCTAGTACGGAAAATACACACGCCTTCACCTCAAGTTATGCAGCTCGACCAAACTCCCAGGGAGCCGCTACGGCCGCTCCATCCAGAGCTGCATATTTGAGGTAACACTAAAGGAGGAAAAAAAGCACAGCGGGGGCAATACTTTAAAGGTGGAGATGACATTTTTACTGTCAGTGCAGGGCTCAGCGTTTCCCCAACACATTAATACAGGTCTCCACAATACAGACTTAGAAAAATACGTGATATGAGTAATAACCTTTGTACCCGCCTATCATTTGATATATTACAGGAATAAAGCCAGACGACTCCAATTACTTATTACTGTGGCATCGGGGAGGGTTGGCTGGAGCTGGATATAATCATGAATATGAGCTCTGTGTAGGCTTTTCTTTTCATTTGGGAAAAAATAAAAAATCTGAAATTTATATTTTTAGAACCATCAACATGACATTAAAACCTTAATGAAATCCTGGACCATTTAAGCAGAAATTGAGAAGAAAAAATATATATATATACATACATATAGAGAAGAAAAAAAATATATATATACATACATATACACATATATATCAAGGTAATGAGGAATTCAACTGATAACAGAGTGCTAATAAAATTGTATTTATATATTATTGTATATATATATATATATATTTAAAATATGGGAGGAAAAAAAGTTTGGGAAACACTGAGCTTACATGGCTGTTGCAGTGGCGTCTCCTTCTATCTGTGTGGAACAGTGACAGGTTGAATTATTAGTGGGAGTGAAAACTCAGAATGACGTCAGTTATTACAGGGAATCAGACCGCTGATTCTCTCCGAGTAAGGCAAGTGCTGTAACCACTCTCCCTCTGTGTGGGCCAGGCCAGGCCAGGACAGCTTGACTTGTTTGAAGTGTTTGCAGGTTGTGATGGTGGACACATCACAGAGCCTGGTATTGACTTTCACTACGTCCACTCACTCTTTATGGTTTGTTTGGTGAAGAAGGACCGACTGAAGGTCCACAGTGCAAATGTTTAGTCCCACTTGGTTAACTGTGTGTGTTATAGGTTTATGGATTCGTGTGCCGTTGCCTTAAACACCCACCGTTGTTCACCAGGGAATATCAGTCTGATCAATAGACATGTTTAATCATCTGCTGCGCCCACACGTTCCATCGATTCTCATTCACCAGCATCACAGTCACACCAGCTGTAGATGCAGATGTGCACACGTATTCAGCATGTTCGGTGCCAGCAGGAGGAGTCCTTGTATGTATTGATCCTTTGGCCTCTAAAGGACAAGGTCATCAGGTCGTCCGTCACAGAGCCAGACATGACAGTGACACACACACACACACACTTCAAACAGAGCCGATGGACCGTGCAGTGACCAGACTGTGGCATCGGGTCAGGAGGGAGTGCAGGTTGTGTTGGTGGGAGCAGAGCTAACACTGTCCCACTGTCTTTAATCATTCTGAACAGGAGATCAGGAAGGTCAGAGGAGATAGCTGTCCACTACAAAGGCAGAGGGTCCTCAGACCAAGTTAAAGGGGGTTTCCTCAACTTTTACCCAATTATCAGACCTGGTCATCCAACATGCACGCTTTAAAGAAATGACCAAACATGTCAACTGGAAGGTTGAAGTAGAGAAGAAACTTTAGAGGAGAAGAAGAAAGAAGTTGGTGTTGAAGTTTGAAGAAGTGGTTAAGACGTTGAAAAGGTTCACAGTTCTTTGACAGAGGTTCATAGATGACAGACACGGTCAGAAAAAGGTGAGAGGAGAGAGAATCCGACCACAGCCAAAGACAAAATCCCGTCACGGACTGAGACAAAGGCAAAAATAACCAGATAACAGGAGGAGGTGAGATTAGAAGGTTGGAAACTGGACAAGGATCCACAGCTTTTTTCCTGTTGCACACCTGGAGTGCTGTCCTGGGGGAGCGGCCTGGCCGTGGGAGGCGAGGTCAGTGTTGTCTTCTTCAACACATCTGACGAGGACAGGGACATCAAAGGAGGACGATGAGAGCTCACAGATGAAACATGTGGAGAGAAAAACCCTGCTTCGGTTCCCCGACTGTGAGAGTCCTGATGAGTACACGTCTAAACTGAGACATTTGACCTGAAGACCACTGTCCTCCCAGTCAGACGCAGAGCATGAAGTCGTCTGCTGTGGAAACACTTCAGTGCAGGAACGTTCCTGAAGGCCGTGCACGGATCCCTGACCTGACACTCACAGTGATCATGTGATGTAAGAGGACCGTCACCTCTGAAGACTGGACCACAGGTCTGTCTTTAATGGAGGACGAATAACCCTGTCCTCATCTGTATATAACTATGTGCAGGTTTATCATAAAAATAGAACCCCACNAGAGAGCGCCTCACACGGAGCTGCTGCTGCTGAATGTGAAGTATGCCGCTGACACAGCCGGGGAAATATTCCTGCTATGCTTTTTTCTGTTTCCGCGCTGCTACATCCTCACTTTGACATTTGGCTGTGATAAGAGGAAAGCCTTGAATCCCACACATATGCACACAGAGAATTCCGAACGCTACATCCCAACTGAACTCCCACACTCGGGCGTACAGTAAGGGTAGTGCTGCGCAATCCCGGGACAATGCTCGGATTCAAAGTCCATGCATGAGGCCTATTCACACTTCCTATCGCTGACATCTGCAATGCTAATGACTGAGTGACAGAGTGTGTTTCTCTGCCTGGCAGGGAACAGTTGTGTTTTCTCCAAGCATCTCTCTCTCTCTCCCTCTCTCTCTCTCTCTCTCTCTCCTTCTCTCTCACACTCTTTTTCTCCCTTTTCTGCGTAGGCGGCCCATGTGAAGCCGCATCAAAGCTCTGGACGTCAAAAGAATCCGTATGGCTCAGCTGTGCGCAGAATGTGGCACAATCTTGGTAGCAAATGTCGCCGGAAAAATTGTTCACAGCGTTTCTTTGTGGTCGCTCGCTCAGATGTGCGCGGCGCAGGGAAAGCAGGGTTTGTTTGCATGATTCAACTGCAGCTGTGGGGCAGTTTCGCTCACTTTCTAAAAGTCCACCATGGTTTCCCTTTCAGTCCCTCTGCGAGGATTCATTCCACCTCAGAATTATGTTCTCATCCAATTTTAAACCCGACTTCTGTCCACGGCTGCCTCCTCTTCCTCTGCCTCTTACAGATTTACACACTCTTGAGAACACAGGAAGCCTTCTTGAGCTCAGGGACTCCAGTTCTCACTCTCCTCTCTTACCCAATCGCCGACAAGTCATCGAAGAGGACTGGTGGCGGCGCAGGGCCGTGCCGGAGGTGACTTCCTGTTCAACAGCTGGCCCCTTGTTCGGCCCCGGTCCAGGCAACAGCAGGATAATCTCCCATGAGTCTTTCCACATGGGCAGAGAAGCCTTCATGTCCCACCACTGTTTTTCCTGCCGTCCAACAAAGAAGAAAAGGTGATTGTGTTGCGAGAGCTCGGCTCCTGTTCGGGGTCCAACATGTGTTTGTTTAGCATGTGTATGTCTGTGTGAGGGAGTCTGTGAATTATTTTCCTACCAGGATGCATGCATGAATCAGCCTTTTCACTGCATATGTGCAGCAGTGGCTGGCTGAGGTGCACAGATTGGGAGCGTTCAGCTGTCACCAGCTGACCTCACCACAGACACACTTTGTGCTCAGAAGTGAAGGAAACAGGGCTTCTCTCTATCCCACTCGCCCCGTCTGTAGAACACTCACACCTCAGTTGGTTATCCTTGGATAATCCAAACTGACTCGTGTGTCTGTGCGCGTGCGCGCGTGCACTTTCAAGAACACAACTTCCATCTTATTCGGCCTCATCCCCTACTTCTTATTTTTATGCCTCCTGTCTTGACCTTTGGCTTGACATGAGCCCCGAGGCACTATTGGCCACAGGAACTGACCCGCATAGAGGTCACTGAAGGTCATCTGAGTCGGCCTGGCTCATTGTGTGCACTGATAGGACGTTGATGGCTTGTTAGGGAACGTAATCATGGGTAAAAGAGTTAAGTCCCAGACTCCACTGCCTGCTGTGAAGGTGACCAGTACGTGATTAGAGAAATTACAGGGAAAAAGAGCAAAGCTGTGTCAGGAAGACTGTCTACAAACACATACCCTTTATCCCCTGATGGGGGTGCTGTTAAGACAACGGTAGTATTCAGTTAGTGTCCAATGTTGCTGTTTGAATACGAATATGAATCACCCATAAGTGATGACAAAACAGCTCTGATATCAACACAGATGACATAATTTTTGGCTCAATTAATTGCAAAATGGAATTAAATGACTCAAATGTGTTTGAATATGAATATGAATCACCCATAAATAATGACCAAACAGCTCTGATATCAACACAGATAACATAATTTTTGGCTCAATTAATGGCAAAATGGAATTAAATGACTCAAATGTCATTAAGTCATGACTCAAATTAACTTTAAATGGTGAAAATGCAGACAGATGGCAGTGTCTGCCCCCCGACCCTTTAAAAATGACCAGAGGCATTCATTGATATAATTCACTGATTTATCTCTTAAATATATACATCTTGCCAACTCTACTTTTTTATTTGCTGAAAACGTTTTTTTTTGTTGTTGTTGTTGTTTTTGTTATTGCCACAGCATCTGTTTGAAAGCTGTGTTGAAATCAAATGTTCTCTGCAATTTTACTATACCAAGAATTTATGTGGGTTAAACTCTATTCCTGGTCTAAATGAGACTTTGGGGTTTTAGAAAATGTAATACTTCCTGTCCCTTGACGAGAAGACACATGCGACCAAAAGGAGTGGTGCTGTTGGTTTCACACAGTTCTATTCTGAACTCCATTTCCAACTGAAAGGCAGATGACACACGTGCGGCAGTGATTGGAGCAGACAGCTGCTCCCAGGATGTACAGAGGGCTTTGATTGGCCTTGGCAGCTGCCCATGCTTTGCTTGTGCTTGTTAAATGTGTGTGTGTGTGTGTGTGGACACATGTGTGTAGGCACCATCAGTTAGCTCACTGCTTGAACGTACAGCACTAATGCCTCTGAGCTGATGTTTATCCTCTAATAAAGTTAAGGCTGTGCCCATTGAATGGTCATTACTGAACTGAGGCTGTGTGTGTGTGGGCGAGGGTTTGGCGCCTCGTTCGCTCAATATTGAGCTGTTGTGCATTTTGTGCGCGTAAACTTGCAAATGTAACTGGAGATCGGTTTTGTTAATGCTGTCAGAACTGGAGTGTAGTCGAAAAAATCTCATTTAAAAGGACAAAATGTTTTCTGTTCTCTGCTCAACACCACCTCGGTGTAAAGCCTGAACTAAGTGTGGGCAAACTTTTAGAGTCGCGGTCCACAATTGTCCTAACATTGAACAGGGGGGCCGGGTCAGGGGCCGATAGATGCAGATTGTGTGAACTAAGGTAAATGACATGTAAAAGTCGTGCATAAAGGCTAAGATGCTAAAATGCTTTTCTACGCCATCTATTGGGTGAAGGTGAGTATAAAAGAGGCTCCTGAAGCAGTTGAACTTTACAGATCTAGTTTTAGCAAATACTTTTAGTCCAGACTGTACAGTATGTATCCCTGAAACACGGGAGCAGGAGAGCATCTCGTTGCCAGTTGTTCAAACCATTTGGAGCCAAGTCGAGCAAACAAACTTCTGAATCTGAACTATCTTTAAGAAAAATGTTTGAGAACCACGGCTTTAGAACAACGTGAGACAAAGACAAAGACACTTTGGAGACAAAGTAGAGCAAACAAACTTCTGAATCTGAAGAATCTTTAAGAAAAATATTTGAGAACCACGGCTTTAGAACAACGTGGTCTGTTGTTCAGGCCTTTGGTCTGAGGAAACTGGACTAGTAGAGGATACACCACTAAGAGGAGGGGCAAAACAAATTGAACAACTTTAGCATAGCACGTGTCAGGCTCTGTTAAGGCTTGGGGCTGTATTCCCGCCAATACATTCCAACCTCTTTATTATTGAATCTGTTGGAATGAGGCCGAAAAGGGGTCAAGAATCAGCCTCCCTCCAAAGGTCAGCTTTCAGATGTTTTTGATACGACTGTAGAAACTCACTGTTTCTGATGTGAAGGTCATTTCTGGGTAGGTTCTACAGGATTTACCCCAGAACAATTCTCCAACCTCTCATCACAATTTCTGGGCAAAAATAGCCAGAGTGACATTAGAGATTTATATGCACCTCTTCAATGTTAATGCAGTTGGGATTTTAGCCTGTAATAATCTGATCTAATGTGTTTCTGGACAAAAATAGAACACACACTCCAGCAGGGGGAAAACGTGCTGGGAAACAGCAACTCCACTTATGCCGAGAAGGCCATCCTTACAGCTGATCCCCAGAGTGCACACAGGGAACATGAGAACACACACACACACACACACACACACACACACTGTTAATATGACCTTCTTTTGGAAGACAAATTCTGAACAGCGCTGCTGATAAATCAGCGGCACCATCTCCTCCCCGCCCTCCGTGGTTTGGGTTGATACCCACCAACAGCTGAAACTGTTACATAATTGTGCTCTGTGCACAGTGCGGACCCTGCAGCAGCGGTGGAGGCCTGGGGGTGTCACCGTAGGCCCGGCTGCAGATGGCGCTCCGGCCTGCCACCACCTGTAAATCATTGGAACCAAATTGTTTATTTGGCTTTTCCTAAGTGCTACCAGTGTTTCCTCTGTGTTCTCGTGTCCCCGCTGACTGAAACAAAAAAAAAAACAATCACCCAGCTCCACACCACCCAACAGAAAAAGGGCAAAACAGCACGTCCCTCTGGGCGATGCACAGCTTTGGCATGACCACCAACAACAGAAGGTTGAGTTAACCTAAAGGACAACCTCAGTTTCCACCTCCACCCCCTTCTTTCTCTTCTCCTGGGGCGGTGCACTTCCAGAAAAGCAAAGACACTTAACACAAATAAAGGAGTAATTCAAACGAGCTCAGTGGAGGGAAACACGCCACCACCGTTTGTTGGTGTTGGTTTTGTCTCATCCCTTTTTGAAAAGCAAAGCCTCGCCGTCTTCCTACAGGTCTAATTGATATTTGTTGTTGCCAACTCAGAAGAAGCGACTGCTATCTATTAACTGAAGACTTCTCCGAACCACGAAGACCAGCGTGCAGTGGCAGTGACTCAGGCTTGTGGTCCAGATTTATAGTCTCCATCTTTAGTCAGGAAGATGTGCAGGCCGCTGACCTTGGAGATTAAAATTATTTTTGAGCCGTATGTTTTTCACTTCAACCAGGATTCTCAACCAAAATGTTTTTTTATAAATAAGTGGAACACTCACTCACTCACACTATAAGTCATTGAAGAGCAGAGCATTAACCAGTGCCATCCTGGTGCGAACAAGGTCCATTCAATTTGCTAATGAGATTACGAGCAGGCTAATGAGGCCCCGAAAGAAGGTCATGATGTAATGGAATACCCAGCACTCACCAGTACAGCAGTGTGTGAGTTGTACTCTTCTGGGGAATTAAGGATCTTAAAATGAATTTGCAATAAATTGGACTCCTATTACTCAACCCTTGTGGGGATGTTTTTATAATCGAGGCTTTGAAGATAATTGTCTGAGCGCACAGTGTTAGCAAAATGGAATGAAATGGCGAGAGAGAAGAGGAGAAAGTGTCTGTGTTTGCAGTTTGTTTGAATTAAGAAAGGTCTGTTTTTGCAAAACAAGCAGCGATTAGGGAGAAGCAAAATGTATTTTTTTAGGTGAGTCTGTTTGTTTATACAACATTAGCAAAAATCAAATTATTCTGTTAGCTTGAGAAGAAAGATAAAACACATGTAATGACTAACATACTCGGGGTAATGGGGCTGAAATACCACATGTGCATACTGGATCAGCAGCTGCTGGATGGTCCATCTCGACAACTAGCAGAATTAGCATACATCAGTAGCTTGTTAGCATTATGTGTCAGCATATTGATAAATGCTTGCAAGGATGAAAATATTCAGGCTAGCTAGTTTAATGTTGCAAAAAATTAGATTCAAGTAGATTCAAGACAACGTTGTTGTTTTTATTTCATCTATTTACATATATTGTGACCTCAACATATCATTCCAAGTGCTATACAACATTAATTATTTCTTTACAGGACCTGGACTTGCTCACCATGCCGTTGTTGTGGACAGCAGCTGGAATTTGAAATGGACTTAACCTGGAATGACTGAGAGAACCAGAGGTACGTGACTGACTGTATGAATACTAGTGTCATGTTCTGTAAAGTTTCACACCAGAGATGGGTAAAGGACAGTGTCATGTTTCGCAGTAGTAGTCAGGATATTTTGAGCATATCAGGAGGCTCAGAGCACGACATCTGTCTCCGTCGCTTTGCTTTGTGGCTGCTGTGTTTTCGAGCAATTTAGAAGTTACTCAGCAACAGCGCTGTGTTAAACGAGTGTCATTTGTCTTTTAAGTCTGCATTTATACACACTCAGTGCCTACCCATGTGTCATGCTGTACGATTTCTGCCGGGTAATCACATTTGTGCTGTGTTTGGGTATGAGGATGTATTGTCGTTGCTGCTGCAGCCATCTGAGTGTGCACACGGCTCAAATTGTCTTGTTTATAGTAACATATGGGTTTATCTAAATACGGAGGATGAATTTACAGTCAGACGGCGGTCATATTTCTTGCCATGGTGTGTGGGTGCCTCCTGCATGCTTCCCTCTGCTCATAAAAGCAGGCTTATTTACAATGTACATTTTTATGTGATCGTGTGTGCGAGCCGTGCATCCAAACCAGTGTCTTTTTGGTTCAGTGGAAAATTCCAAGATTGCTGTTGTGCTGGCTTGAAAACACAGAGGCTGTAACCAAAGCTCCGGCTGTTTGAGCCGTAATCCTCTGGGCCTCTCCCTGCGCTGCTTCCCCATCAAAGGAGTGCTGATTACTGGGAAGCTGTCTGGGAAGAAGCACTGGAGATAGGAAGTGGGCATGGGAGAGGTGGAGGAGACGTGACGCTTAAATACAGGACTGCAGCCGCTGATGTAGTGCTGAATGAAAAAAGGGAAGTTGGACTCAAGCACCAGATGCTGCAGTGGAATTGGAACATGGACTGGTACAATAAAGGTTGTTATGTTTTAGTCAGACATCTTTTTTTAAAAAAAGAGAGTTTTTGTAGAAAGTATTGTTATTAATATATATGTCCTAAACATAACTATTTAATAAGATGATGGTCATCAGCAGATCAAATGAAACCAGATCAGGTTAATTAGCATCTTTAAATAGAAGTGCAGGTGTGAGGATGGTCATCAGCATCAAATGATCAAATGAAACCAAATCAGGTTAATTATCATCTTTAAATAGAAGTGCAGGTGTGAGTGTGAGTGTTGATTTGGATCTGTTTTCATGGCAGCCTGACCCCAGCAGCCATCTTGGACAGACCATCACGGGGCCACATATGGAGCCAGATGTAGTCAACAACACTTACCTTAAGGTTTGGGCTGTTGGATTGAACTGTTATGTCCAAAGAACACCCACCTTCTAACTTCAGTCACAGGAATAAAACCCGCTGTGTTTTTACGACACACCTTGGGCTCTAAATATGATCAATTCACCCCATCATTCCTGCCGCTACAGGCACTATTTATGCAAAAAAAAAAAAGAAGAATGTAACGGTGCAGCACGGCTCCATGCAGGTGGTGAATCTGCAGATGTCAAATAGTTGCATTACCGTCTCGATGACTGGTAAAAGTGAAAGACTGGTATTCAAAACAAAAGTAGAAAACCGTGTAAGAATGCCTGACTCACCGGGGCCAAAGAGCAGGAAGTCGAGCATCCTCTGTGTGCGTTCGTGTGTGTGTATGTGTGTGTAAATGTATATTTGGGCGCGTATTTTCAAAGCCTGAAATAGATTAGGGAGTGTATCCGCACATTCTCTGCTGGTGTTTTTAATCTTCCTGTCCATTTGTCCATCATGTGCCGCTGCTGTGCTTCCTGTCTGCGCCGATGACTGCACAGCCAATAAAAAGTCAAACAGGAAACTGAGCGGAGACCCTCCTGATTGTTACTGAGGTGTCTGGACCACGAGTCCCCATTGTACATCCGTAGCCCCCCCCACCCCTTTAATAATACACACATGCAGCACGGAAGCTGCACACACACACCCACACACACGCAGGCATACACAATACACAAACAAGATGAGCGTGAAAATATGCGCTTGAAGCCGCAGTTGTGTTTTTGTTGGAGGAGCAGCGCACGTGCACACTCTCAGCGGGCGTGTAAAGAGAGTCAGCGGTCGCACATCTGATAACGCAGCAGCGTAATGAATGGAACAAACTCCAGTCGCTGCCAGGAATGTCTGCAGGTCTTTTGTTTTTGTCATTTCCTACCAAGTGTTGAAAGGGCGTGGTGCAGCGACAGCTACCTGACACAGGGACGTGAGCTGAGGTCACGGACCAGACAAAAACAACAACAGAAAAGAGATAAAAACTTAAAACAACAAAATACGGCCAGACGTGACGGTCAGGAGGTCCGACGGGTCCAGACAGGTTAGGACGTTAGCTGCTGGTAGCGGTGGTATCTGTGTGGAGCGGCCATGCGAAAGGCCAAGGCCTGGACCCTAACCCTGGAAGGAAGTGAAGGTCCTGAGGATCAAACTAGAGACTATAGAAGGCA